CAAATAAGCTTACAGACAGGTAGGTTGACAGGCAGGTACAAGTGGCACGAAAGCAAAGAAACGTGGCAACAGACAAACTACAACGATCTTGACAACTCACTATGGACTACATGTCTGATTAGGAAATGAAGTGCAGGTGGGGTGACGGGCAGGGAAAAAAATCTTTTGTTATCCAAACATGGTCTTCATCATGACCGCTTTTATTATCATCATCGATTTATGGATAGAGACAGCGATCTCTGGACATTGCCATTCATCCTCAGAATAAAATCTATGGCTTACTGTCCTTCAGTGATCACTCTTTAAATCAAACTAATCTGTATAAAGCTGTAATGTAATGTAATGTAAAACTGATCTGTCATATTGTGATTAATCGCACTGATTGGAACATTCCTATTGTAGTTATCATGCAAGAAATGGAGTGATGATGATTGTGGTGCAGTTAAAACAAATAAATGTATCCTATATCAAAAGTGAGTTTTTGAATATTAGCTCCTCAACTTAGCTTTTAGTTCATTTTTGTAGGTCTAGCCATTGGTTCTATCAGACAACATTGTACTCAATCACTGAAATTTTGGAATGTCGCTACATTTCTGAAGATAAATTGAGCAAGGCAAAAAACACAAGCCAGCAAACAAGTTGCAAACAAATGCCCAGGTTACATTTGTTTGGAAGAGAAAACAAAGGCAAACAAAGTCCAAATGACTCAAAAAGTAAATCTAAGGTTTTATTTTTTTAATTACTAGATATCTATACTCATTAGTCTATAATTTGGATAACAACAGGCTGTTCTTTGTGTTCTGAGTCTGTTATTGACATGCCTATTTGGAAGAAGGGGTGGGGCATGTTGTGGACATTCAAAATGTGCAGCTTTCATTCTGGCGCTAGCTGCAGTGAGCTACTAAGCCAGTAGCTCACTGATCTGTTTTAGTGGGGAAAAATATGTTAAAGTATTATTCCGTTTTTGTGTAGTTTTTTGAGCGAAGGGTTTAAACACATCTGGAGGGGGCAACCCTTTGTAGGGAAAGAGGGTGGAGCGTGATACTCTTTGTGCTAATGCGACTGGAGCCGTGTATCGTCTGATGGGACTTTGTGCCAGTACCTGTGCTATTTTTAGTTCCATTTCCACTGTGACCTCCTGCTACGTGCTCTGCCTTTAGCAGAAAGTACCAATCAGGGGAGAGCCGACCTCACTTAACAACGGTTTTAGCTTGTGCTCCCAACAAGGTACAGGAGGAAGGGTCAGATGATAAATTCCTTTTCCCACCTATTAGCCTCCAGTAATACGTTATCATTGTGTGTGAGTGGAGGAGCTGCCTGAGCCCAGCCCACGGTGAAACTCTGACACAGAGCAGACGACGAGGACAGAAGCAACCGGAAATGACAGAGAAACGTGTCTCAGAATAGTTGGCTATACGCTGTGATACAACACAGGCGCTGTGCCCCAGGTCTTACAATGGTGGAGAAAACCCTGCTGTATATATTCTAGCATGACGTTGGTGGTGATGCTAAAAGGTTGGAGACATTCTTATGTAATCAAACACGCATGTAAACACAACAGGCAATATCGAGGTCAGCAAAAACAATCAAGGGTCATGTTTACATATTGTAATTATCGTGACAGGGCTATGTACAGTATCTTAGTATCCCAATATTATTATGAAAGCTCGATCGAGTTTTAAGCAGATCCTGCGAGTTTCATTTGACTCAAAAGCGTACATGAGGAACACTTCTAAGCAAATCAACAAAGACCTAGCATTGAGCTACTTTCTGAAGTAAAACACCACTATCTTTAGATAGAATCCATGCCATGGAAAGATATTAAGACATGCAGCTTGAACACTAGTGTATGAAACATCTTGTGAAGTGTGGTCTTTAGATCGCACACAGAACAACCCCAGTGGGATGTTTTAAAAGCTTTATAACTTGGGGAACAACTTCCTAATGCTTGAGCATATGCCGCACTGAGAAGTTCTTATGTCTGTTAATTGCAGTAACAAACTGGTGATGGAGCAAGATTAATGTGGAGGGTGTAGGCTAGAGATGCTTCATGGTCTGAAATGATGATGAGAGAGAGGTGGATATTTTAAATTGGTATAACATCAAAGAGCCCTACATGTCAGAGGTTCTGGACACCAAAGATCAGTCAAATATGAGACATGAGGGCAGACGGAAGTGCTGACATGCAATTGGTTTTTCAAGCTTGAGGGAGGACAGGTGAAACACATTCAACCAAATACTTCTCTCTTTCCTCCATACCTGTGTTCAAACAGATCACTTCTACTTCCAGGCATCACACCCAACACAGGGTTAAAGGAACACCACCAATTTTACACTTAAAAAGGTCAGTTTAGTATAATGCCTTCTGTGGCTCTGGAGGAGTTTTGTCAAGTCTGAGAAAATAATCCTGATGATGTCACAGAGATGAAAATAGGGTTGTCAGCTTGGGCTACAGAAAATGTGTGTTTTCAAATTGGGCATGGAGTTTGAAAGTAGTGGGTATGAGCAAGGCAGGCAGGGTCTAATGATTGATTCCATTGAGATGAATTTAGCTTGGCTCTGAGTTACTTACTGTATTATGCTGGATGAAATCTTGGATTTTTTTTGTGTAGAATCCCTACCCAAAACACTACGCAGAGTCGCAGTCTAACACACTTTTCTGCTCCTCCATTTCAGGAGTTAGGAGTTACTTAGTGAAAATCCTATAGTGACGGTGTCTGCCCCCCCGACCATTGAAATTATTTAAATCAAAGGTAAACAGAAGAGGAGAGGTACAAAAAAACCTCATAAAAATTAAAACCACAAGAGCAATAGTGCAAACGAATAGGAGAGTTAAATGTGGACTCTTAAACATCAGATCTCTCTCTTCTAAAGGTGTACTAGTAAATGAACTAATATCAGATTATGATATTGATTTATTTTGTCTTACTGAAACCTGGCTGGGTGATGGAGAATATGTTAGCCTAAATGAATCCACCCCTCCCAGTCATATTAATACTCACATTCCTCGAGGCACAGGCCGAGGAGGTGGAGTTGCAGCTATCTTCGACTCTAGCCTACTAATCAGCTCTAAACCTAAACTAAACTATAACTCATTTGAAAGCCTTGTTCTTAGTCTTTCACACCCAAGTTGGAAATCACTGCAACCAATTCTTTTTGTTATAGTGTACCTGGCCCGTATTCTGAATTCTTATCTGAATTTGCAGAGTTTTTGTCAACTTTAGTCCTTAAAACGGACAAAGTTATTATTGTAGGGGATTTTAATATTCATGTGGACGTTGAGAATGACAGCTTCAGTACTGCGTTTATCTCTCTGTTAGATTCCATTGGCTTCTCTCAGAGTGATCATGAACCGACTCACTGTTTTAATCACACCCTCGACCTTGTTTTGGTGTATGGTATTGAAATTGAACATTAAGTGGTGTTCCCACAGAATCCCTCTTTGTCCGACCACTGTTTGATAACTTTTGAGTTGGTATTGCTGAACTACACGCCATGGGGCAAAAATTTCTATACAAGATGTCTGTCTGATAGTGCTGTAGCTAAATTTAAGGATGCCATTCCATCAGCTCTAAATTCATTATCAAGTCACAAAGTAACGGAGAACTCCTATGCTAATTTCAGTCCCTCCCAAATCGATCATCTTGTTGATAGTGCTGCAGGCTCTACCTAAATCTATTAGAGGTTACCAAGGAAGGAGTTGGGGATGTAATAAGAAAGAAAGACAGAAGACTGAAAAGGTTAGAGAGAGAGATAGAGAGAGAGAGAGATAGAGAGATAGATAGATAGAGAGAGAGAGACAGAGAGAGAGAGAGAGAGAGGATCTTCAAAAAGCCTCAGTTTAGCTGGAAACGTTTCAGTGTAAGTTGAATGAATAGAGACTGCAGCTCTGCAGCTTCTCTAGATTAAAGCTGAGCTCCGCATTACAAACAAACATTTTTGATAAGGATCCCTTAAATGTGATTCTTATAAAGATGTGACCAAGGTATGTAGTGAGAGGGACATTTTACACTGAAAAACAATGTCAGTGCTCTCTGGTGTACAAACTATGTAATGGAGACACTATTTCTAAATTACCATAAACATATCTTTGGCATTTCTATACTGACATTTGCTGTTACTTATCGGCCATCAATATATGTGCAATAAGCTAATATCACAGCTGATCAAAGATAAATACATCTGTCCATCTCTAGAACTTTTAGTAGAACTAACTAATGTTTTGTTGGGTACATGTTATGTAATACTTGCATTTTACACAATTTGTTGTGCAATGCAATTCAAATAAAATGAGTCAGACAAAGATCTAGTCAGTGTTTCCTATTACATAACACAAGATTTGTATTTATTTGTAAATGTTTCATGGAACGAGAACAAAACTTCATATGTTCTGCTGCTTGGATCTCATATTCAGGTTGGAGCTGCAAGTTTTGAACATGGTAAATGTCTGTACTTGTATAGCGCCCTTGTAGTCCTCTGACCACTAAAAGCACTTTTACATTCCAACATCACATTCATATACTGAGGCCAACTGCTCAGAAAAGAAATTCACATACCAATAGAACAGCTATTGAGAGCAATTTGGGTTTCAATACACTTTGACATGCAGACTGGAGAAGAACGATGAATGATCACATGATTAACCATTTAAAATGTCAGTAATTCTGCTTTGAAGCTAATGAAGGATGGACTGCATTCAGAAAATCAAAAAATCAATACATCAGCAAGAAAAAAGCTGTATCAATTTTGATTTAATTTCAATAAAAGAACAAATTCAACATCCACTAACTAACTTTTTCTGGAGCTTATGCCCACATCTCATGCCCTTCAGTCAATATAGTGTAATGACAACTTAGCATATGTGATGTGGTTGAAAGTTCTCCAAATAGCTAGTAAGTGTACCTTGAGTTTTATGTCCATGTGTGTCTGTGATCGAATGCCTGTATGTCAACAACAGGACAGTAATGCATGCAGATGTCAGGAGAGCACTTCACACCTACCTCCAAATGCCGGCCTCATAGTGAAGTCATGATCGTCTACTTTGAGCAGATGCTCTGTCTTCATTTTCCGAGACTTGGTCACATCTGGAGGCTTCTTCGCCAAGGAGCTAGGGGATAATGACATTCAATGTCAGAGGGTAGATAACTGAAAGACTTGGGTTTGGTTTTGAAAAGATAAAAAGCAACACACCAAAACTGGAGAATACAGATTAATGAGCCAAGTTGATCATTCATCTTCAACCCATTTTCTCAGATTTAATATTCTCATTACTCTACTGATTCTACTCTTCTTCTACATCTGCATTCCAAACTTCCAAAAGACCACACATAAATCATCATATCATGGTAGTAGAAATCCAAAAGTTGAAAGATCAACCCAAGGTGATGGCGATGGTGATGGCGCATCGATAAGATGCTTGCCCTTGGTGTGTGAGACATCCACCATTGTGTCTCACATCCCACTTAACCCCTAGTTGCTCCAAAGGTATGCGACCTCTGACGTGTATAGCAATTGTAAGTCGCTTTGGATAAAAGCGTCAGCTAAATGAATAAAATGTAATCAACCCTGTGTTCAAGCACAACAGTCATCCTAGTTTGCAGACATGCTACTCTTAAATTGTATTTGTGTCGTTGGTTGAATAGAATGTCGTGCTATGATAATTGACAGTGGTATAGTGTCGCTCTAACATTGACGGTGGTTAAGCTTTTTAGACCACATGCTGTGTTAAATCACCCCAGGATAGACTTGTCAAGGCCCTGGCAGAACTATAACAGACAGATATATCTTTTCTCTACAATACCAGCGAGCAGAAAAGAATAGATAAATGTTTTGCAGTCCCTGCCCCCCTGTCCATTTGGGGTTTTGTGGATCAGACTCTGAAATTCCTCATTTTTCTAAGGAAACCTCTACACTTAATCTCTAGAATAGTGAGAATGACTTAGGTTAGGGCTGCTCCAGACAAAAGAAATATGAGACAAACACTTCTGCATGCTCCTAATCTTTTCATATCTCATACATTCTGGATAGAAATTTGTGTTTTGCATGACAATAATTTGAAAGAGATATTTATTTAATCAATGTGTACCAGTGTTCAAGCCGTTATTAAGCTCTGTCAGAGTAGTGATTGGCTTAAACATCCCTTTTAATCATGGCTAACAATTCTGATAAAATCTTTTTGCAACAAAAATGATCAGTCTCTTTTCCTCAAAATAAATATCTTATTAGAAAAAGTAAGTGCAAAATCATTTGTGATTCAAATGAATTAAATCAAACATTTATTGATGATATATTAAACATTTGTTATATTGTTATTGAGGAAAATTATATTGCAGTAATTAGAATTATTGTTTTATTGCCCAACCCTAGTTAAGCTCAGGCACAGAAAGGCCAAAAAGATTTAAAGGTCACATATTATGCTCATTTTCAGGTACTTACATTTATTTTTGGGGGTCTACTAGAAAATGTTTTCATGCTTTAATGTTCCAAGAACACATTATTTTTCTCATACTGTTTAGCATCTCTATTCACACATTCATTGCCTCAAATCTCTGTGAATTACGGAGTGAGCGTGATGGACAGATAGCTTTATTAACTGCCAACAACAAGTGAAGCTATCTGTCCATCAGGAAAGAGAGGGAAAACCAGAAAATATTTACCTTTCCTTCATAACCGTAAAAGCACTGAGAAATACTGAACAACCTCCAGCTCTAGCTCAATGGAATGACGCTTGGTGTTGGACGGTAGGGCTGAGAGCGGTGTACTCAGTACATGTTCAGTGGGTGGGGCCGTCTACTGAGCTGGAGGAGGTCCTATGCTACACAGATACATTCATAATGTCAAGAAGGGAGGCAAATTCAAATGGCATGTTTTCACACACACTTACTGAAAGACTGAGGAGGAGAAAAACAGGGAGGATGTTTTTTTCTCATAGTTTGTGGGTCTTAAGATACACCAGGGACACATATTTATGTTGTACACACGATAAAGTGCATTCTGCATAATATGGGTCCTTAAAAGAGACATGGATGGTTGAAATGACTACCTGGCTATGGTTATGTGAAAAGAAACAACAACCCAACAACTGTTGGTAGGAGACGGGAAGCGAACAGGGATTTCTTGTGTCTAGCAAGTCTCAGAGAAATAACATTTATATATATATATATATATATATATATATATATATATATATATATAACTAATTTGAAAAAAACAGTTTGAGGGAGCCTTAATGCCATCCCTTGTATTTTATATTAAATATAGTCTTGAATGAAATCACTTATTAACTAATCACTTTTTTATTACTTATTTATTATTACTCACATAAAAATGAAACACTGTCAGCATTTGAGTCATGGACAGACTGCTTTGTCTCTGCTTTGTTTTGGATATGACAACTGACCCAGAGTTGTCTTTCATCCTATTGGGCAGGTAAACCAACATTACTTTAAAGCATGTGAAATATATTGTGCTTTTGTGCTTTAGTTGGCTCAAGTTAGACACGTTAGCTCGCCAGCTGTTAGCGCTTGGCGTTGCTTGCTTCGTATCGTTCATTTTAGATTTATTGTTGTTTTATCGGATCTCAAGCTTCTTCACCGTCTCAGTCACTGTAACTTCGGTGACACACATGGTATACAATAATGCAACATAACGGCGCAGGACAACAACACAGTGGAAGACACATTCACTTACTGCGGTCTATCTGTGAGGCAACTATCTCAATAATATAAATAAATAATATTTAGTCTAGCTCACTTAACTGTTCTAGTTTTCATCCAGTAAATTTTTAGCTATGCTGACATTGCTGAGCATCTCACTGAAAAACACAATAGTTATTTAAAAGCTATTGGGTAAATACAGTGTAGCGTCAATTTAGCATTATCATGTAACAAACATTAGCTCAAGGACAAGCTGACAAAAATACTGTAAATAATGTAATGTTGCAGTGGGAGTTTACTTGAGTTTCCAGCATTTTGTGTGATGCTGTCTCTGGTGTGTCGGACTCTGTTTTGGCTCACTCATGAGTTCAAGCACGTGCATGAGTAGAAGCTTAGAAAGGTAGAGGTTGCAATCTGAAACCTCACTGCTAGAAGCCACTGAAAACTACACAACTACAAACAAGGCTTTAACATAATGAGTAAATGTTTTTAGTCACCTTATCTGGCAAGTGGTAAAAATGTATCAGTAATATGTTCACTGAAACGACAAAGATTTCAAAGTGGGAGGCGGACCTCTCCAGGGAGGTTCCAAACAGTTTCAGGGGAGGCTCAAGGAATTGAAGTGAAAAAATATTACATTAGTTATTAAATTAGTTATTAAAAGGAGATCACATAGAATAGCCTAAATGTGTATGATTTGGTTAAGGAGAAAGTTCAGAGACATGGTAGCTTTGGGGATTTTTACTGACTCTCAGAGTCAGGAACTAAAACATGACTTAGGATGGACCTTTTTTCTTTTATGTATTTTTTTGTAGTCTGAAGTTATGTCATACAGTAATATTTGCAATAAGTAATACCATAGCTCATGTTTTGAGTGTGTATGGGATCAAATAACATCATCATGATCCCATAGGCATCCAGGAATTAAGCAAAACTAAGGCCTAGTCCACACGGACACGTTTTTTTTTAGTGCTGGGCAACGATCAAAATTTTTAATCGCGACTAATTGCATGATTTTCTTGCGATTAATTGCGATTAATTGCATTGTTATGCACAAAATTACTGCTATATAGGCCTACACAAAAGTGCAATGACATGTGGTTTGTAAACACTTTAAACAAATAATGTGCTTTTAACCAGCGGTATAAAAAATACACATATTTTATTTTTATAGTATTTTTATAACCAGAGTTTTTTCTCCTTCGTTTAAAAAAAATTCTCTGTCTACACGAAAATGCAAAAACATGCTACCAATCGCTGTCAAGAGCATGCTAAAACACCAAGCGGCGAGATGACCCTAACCGTAACGCCATGTTGGTCGATCGGAGCCGAATAAAATTGTAAACAAAGCAGGCAGTGGCGCGCAATCGACATCAAACACAGCAGATAACAGCGTGCACTCTGACGTCGCAAGACAAAAACTCCGGTTTTACTGTCTACGCAACAACTCTGCAACCGGCATTTCTTAAAATCCACACCCTGGCAGGGGTTTTCAAAAATGTTACATTTCAGTGACCTGATACTGCGTGTGTGTGCGAACAGCCAAACCGCGTAGAAAAAGTCATGGTTTGAAAATACCTGTGTTCGTGTAGACAGGGCCAAAGCAAGTAAAGTAAACTAAGGGAGGGTGGGGAGGCGCATTTCCTCAAGCTTTGTCTGATAGGAGGCCCACAATCTCAGACTTTGAAAACCCCTGTATTACGACAGAGTAATACAACAAAATGTATGTATGTAATGTATGTAAGCAACAAAATGATTCCTACAAAAACACCTTATTAAGAATTTAGGGGAAAGATAGTGGTCATTGCTAAACGTAGTCATTGTTAAGAGAAACCAAAGCTGACTGCTGGTAGAAGCAAGAACAGTGCTCTCTAGATACCAGGCTGCAATGTGATCTTGTGGGATGGTGTATGACTATCATGCCAGACATAGCATGTCATGTCTATGCATTTTAAGTGTGTCATTTAACGCAGTTAGAGATGGCGCATTTAATGAGTTTTGGACTTGTCGTAAGGACAAAGCTTCGTCATCATGGTAACAAGTTTGGTTAGGTTTAAGCAAAGATCAAGGTTTGGGTTAAAATAAATCAGTCTCCTAGTTAAAAGTCCTGTATTTGTTTAACCCATCCAGCCACCTCCACCACGTCCCTACATGGACTTTTTAACTTTTTTTTATACTACGTCACTGTATGACATTTATGGATGACAAGCTGGCGCTGCACAATGTAAGATACAGACTAAATAGCGTAAAATGACACGCAAATAGCAAAATAAGTGTTGTGCAATATGACTTCAAACATTGCCATGTTATTTATACAGCATTTGATGCAGTGTGTCCTTCTGAACCCCAAACTCCTTCTGATCAGCAGATCAGTGTCTTGCAAGCAGCACTATCACCACTATCAGTGTATGGATGTGTGTAGGTGAGTGTGTGGCGGAGCTCTTTGCACTGACATAACTGCACCCCTTTAACCTTTTATAATACAGTCCAAGCTGTTTTAATTTGCCTCATTTGAACTTTTTTATAGGATGTTTATTATTTCCACTCCTATTTGAGAAAGTTATCAAGAATAACCTTGTTTTTAAGTGTTAACATATACAAACTGTTGCATGCCTATCAACAAGATATCATCACTCAGCAATACAGCCAAAGAGATCCATTCTGACCACACCTCATTTATGCAGTTCAGACTTTAACTGTGATTTATGATCTGTTTTTATTTCAGACTAAAATAATACTGAGAAAACCTACATTTAACATACAATCCCTAATGCTTCTTTTTACTATTTGCAAGTATAATGTGATTTGGCTTAATATGAGCCTTGTGTTGACTTTTTAAATTCTATTTTTAATTCGGGAAAATTGAACTAATTGTCAATATGACAGGTGATCCACAAACTCCACTAATTTCAAACATCTTAAACCATCATTCCATAGACCCCAGTTAGAGAATATCCACATCAGCCAGCAGTTACTAATGTAGTCTTCCTGAGAATCTTGTGATGACAATTCAGTTAAATGTATTGTAATGGATATCTGCGCATTTCTTGTTTAATCTCGTGTTTAATCTGTATGTATTCGCCCTGTATCTTCACTTACGTGCCATGCTTTTGGGTCTCCACGGTACCGGTCCATCTCCGCACCCTGTGCTTACGACATTCACCGGTAATGGTCAGGCATAGAAGTAAAATCAGAGGTTTGGTCATATAAGGCATTCTGACGGCGCAAATCCACAGGTGAGTTCTTTGAAAGCCCTCTTCAGTCGTTTCATTCCAGCAGGACTCAGCCGGCTGTGCATGGTTCTCAACAGAGGATGAATGCGTCCTCGGTCATGGCATTAGACTCTGCCGCGCGAGGCTGCAGGACAGGAACGAGTGTGTGTGTGTGTGTGTGTGTGTGTGTGTGTGTGTGCGTGCGCGCGCGCTATCCTATACAGTGCACTTCCTCCGCCTCCGAGAGAGAGAGAGAGAGAGAGAGAGAGAGAGAGAGAGAGAGGCTGAACATCTGTAGCCTGCATGCTCACGCGCACAGGGATTATTTGCAGCCTGGCATGACACAACAGGAGAGGCAGATTATTCCTCCCTCTTGTAAATAAAAACCTCATCATATGAATCACGTTTCGGCTGAGGGACATGGTGCACCAGTTTAAATGCAACCCCCATTTTCGTTTAGTGCAGGGCCTGAGCACGCATTTCTGGGGCCATGGGCAGAATCATTCACCATTCCAGAATTTGTGTAGTTGGTTCCCAAATTATATTTTATGATGGCTGGCTGCTGTTGGTTCATTCCCAGCTCTTCTTAACAGTATGTCAGCCATGCATGGCATCTTATAAATGTGTATGAGTGAATGTTTGGCATGGCATCTTATAAATGTGTATGAGTGAATGTTTGGCATGGCAAAGCACACATTTCTCTAATGATAAAGTCATAATGTAGGCCTATCATTACCTAAAGCAGTCAATTAAATATTGTCTACTTAAGTTTAACATTTTTGCAGGATTTTTCTCTTTTTAAAAAAAATAACATACTAATTTGTTAATAATGATGTACTTAAAGGATACATTTTTTGTATTTGTATAGCACTTTTCTAGTCTTTTCGACCATTTAGCGCTTCATGTTACCTCACATTCACCCATTCCTACACTAATTGCATATCAGAACATAAATAACATTCATACATATTCACACACTGATGGCATAACCACTGAGAGCAATTTGGGATTCAATGTCTTGCCCAAGGACACTTTGACATGCAGACTTGGGGAGCTGGGGATCAAAGTACCAACCTTCCGGTTAGTGGACGTCCGCTCCACCACCAGAGCCACAGCTGCCTCGATAAAGCTGATGATATTTGGATTAATGTCGGCAAATATCTATCTATCTATCTGTGACTCTCCTTTAAAATATGCCTGGATAAGCCTGATAGCCATCGACTTGGGAAATCTCTACTAACTAGAGCAGGGGTTCCCAAACTTTTCAGCCCGCAACTCCCAAGATAACGGTTCAAGTGACTCGCAACCCCCCACTATATCCAAACATATACAAACATTGCAGGCAACTGCGCACACACACTAACAGGCATCCAAACACAAGCATAATGATAACACAAAAGAGCACCCAAGAACAGCCATAATATTATTTTACAGTAATTAACTTATTACTTTAATTTCAACTTAACCTCACCTAATAAGATGGGTATGCAATATGCTTGGAGCACAGCAAGTCCATTCGAGCAGGTACATGGGGGTAGCAGGTGACTCGCAACCACAGATCCAACTCCACAGCTTCAGAGCCAGAAACACCTGCAGAAAATGATAGGAGAAAGGAGAGGGACGAGAAAGCACAAGACCAGGGGAAAGGAAAGAAGTCAAGTTAGTAACATGCATTAATGGGATGAGGTTGCATACAGAGGGAGTATTAAGCCTACTCTTAAATGTGGAGATGGTGTCTGCCTCCTGAACCTTAACTGGAACCTGGTTCCACAGGAGAGGAGCTTGATAGCTGAACGCTCTGACTACTCCTAGTCTACTTTTGGAGACTCTAGTAACCACAAGTAACCCTGCATTCTGGGAGCGCAGTGCTCTGGTGGGGTAGTAAGGTACTATGAGCTCTTTAAGATAAGATGGTGCTTGACCATTAAGAGCTTTGTAGGTAAGAAGAATGATTTTAAATTCTATTCTGGATTTTACAGGAAGACAATGCAGAGAAATTAAGACAGGAGAAATATGATCTCTTTTTGTGGTTCCTGTCAGAACACAAGATGCAGCATTTTGCGTTTTTCTGCATCATTTTTAGACAGGATGTTTCTGTCTTTAGTAATATTACGTAGGTGAAAAAAGGCGGTCCTTGAAAGTTGCTTAATGTGAGAGTTAAAGGACATGTCACGATAAAAGATAACTCCAAGATTCCTCAGGATGGTGATGGAGGCCAGGGCGATGCCATCCAGAGTAAGTATTATCTTTAGATAATGCATCATGGAGGTGCTTGGGCCCCAGAACAATAACTTAAGTTTTATCTGTGTTAAACATTAGAAAATTACACGTCATCCAGGTTTTAACATCCTGAAGGCACATTTGGAGTTTAGCTAATTGATGACTTTCATCTGGCTTGATCAATAGATATAATAGTATCATCTGCATAACAATGAAAGTTTTTGGAGTGTTTCCTGATAATATTTCCTAAAAGAAGCATATATAAAGTCAATAGGATTGGTCCCAGCACAGATCCTTGTGGAACTCCATGACTAACTTTGGCATGCATGGAGGACTCATCGTTAACATGTACAAACTGAAATCGATCTGATAAATAGGACTTAAACCAGCTTAAAGTGGTTATGCAAATGAAATGTTCTAGTCTCTGTAATAGGATATGATGGTCAATGGTTTCAAATGCAGTGCTAAGATCTAATAAAACAAGTACAGAGACAAGTCCTTTGTCTAATGCAATTAGGAGGTCATTAGTAATTTTCACCCGTACTGTCTCTGTGCTATGATGAACTCTAAATCCTGACCGAAAATCGACTATATACTCAAGTAAACTATTGCATTGTAGAAAGTCACACAGCTGTTTGGCAACTGCTTTCTCCAGGATCTTAGAGAGAAATGGAAGGTTATATATAGGTCTATAATTTGCTAAAACATCTGGATCAACATCTGGTTGGGCTTTTTCAAAAGAGGCCCCTGGGCATTTACATTTTAGATTTTAGATTGACACCATGTATAACCAATAAAAAGCATGCTAATATTTTTTTTATCTAAACAGAATTATATTATTGGTCAACCGTAAGTGTGGAAATCACGTACCAACCCCTAACGTTGGTCATCCAGGTCACAACCCGACGCTGAATCGAGTGGATGGTGGGAATATGTTTGTTGTAGTTCAAAATGAATGAGAGAAGTAGTTGTAGTAAACACAAAGAAAACAGAGAAGAAGAGGAGAGGGACATGTGCCATCTATTCAAAAGGAGCCAGGAAGAGAATCAGTGTGGAGAAGTTATGGAAGATGAACGAAGATGACGAGCAAGCTAACCAGGGACCAGAGGAGGCTAATGTTAGCAATTCAATTCAATTTTATTTATATAGCGCCAAATCACAACAACAGTTATCTCACAGCGCTTTTCATATAAGAGCAGATCTAGACCATACTCTGTGGTGTTATTTACAGAAGCCCAACAATTCCCACCAAGAGCAAGCACTAGGCGACAGAGGCAAGGAAAAACTTCCTTTTAAGAGGCAGAAACCTCGAGCAGAAGTTAGCAGCGCACCATAACATCAAGCCCAGGCTAGCAGCGCAGCCATACGGTCTGTGAGTACAGCACAACCTAAGGCTAGCTGTAGCAGCAGCAGCGCACAGTGGATTTATCAGCTGTCCAACCCGGTGTTGGGGGGCAATTAACAAAGATGCTCGCGCCGACCGTGGAAACATCCAGCCTCAGGCCGTGATGGGGTTCAATGGCTTAGGTGAGCTCGTTCAGCAATGATCTGCTGTGTCGTTCACTCCCAAATGGGGAAAAAGTTTACAGAGTGGATCACCTATTCACCATCCACAGGTAATATTTTTAGCTTTGCCTTTATGCTATAAAAATCTGTTTGTTGGTGTTTTTCTGACTGGAAACATGGCGATTGTGTGCGTGGGAAAAGCACAGAGCACTGTTGTTACATGTTAGCATTGCTTCGGCGCTCATCTGTCACTGGGAGCAGGAACCTAAACTAGTGCAACAGCTGGAGGGAGAAGCGGGAGGAGCTCAAGCAAGGTTTTTTGATATACTTTAGTAAGTAAGTAAGTAAAGTTTATTTATAAAGCGCTTTTCTCAGATAAAATCACAAAGTGTTGTACAAAAGAGTAAATAAAAACAAACAGTATAAAATGTATATAAATATATAAAATTAAAATGACACTAGTGAAAACCCATCAACCAAAAGACTTCTTAAATAGACATGTTTTCAGATCCTTTTTAAAAGAGACAACAGTGTCTGCCAGACGCATGGACAGGGGCAGAGCATTCCACAGTCTGGGAGCAACAGACTGAAATGACATGTCCCCTCGGGTCTTATAACGGGTCTTAGGGACTGCAAGTAGGTTCTGGCCAGAGGACCGAAGAGTGCGGTCAGAGGAATACGTCTTCAAAAGGTCCAGGATGTAATGTGGGGCCTGACCGTTTAAGGCTCTGAAAGTCAGCACTAAAATCTTAAAATCAATCCTGAATTTTACAGGGAGCCAATGGAGGTCCAATAAGACTGGTTTAATATGAGACCTTCGAGGGGCACCTGTTAAAAGTCTAGCAGCAGAATTTTGAACGATTTGCAATTTGTTCAAAGCACTTATTTAGACAGGTAAAAACAACTTTGCAGTAGTCGAGTCTTGTCGATAGCGTGACTTATCATTTTGCGAATTTTAGAGATGTTCCTAAGGTGATTAAAGCAATTTCGAACGAGCTGTTTTGAGTGTGTCTCGGGGGACATGGCCTGGTCAAACACAACCCCAAGGTTTCTGAGGCTGGATTTGACAAAAGGGCCCAGAGAGCCAAGGTGCTGTTTGATCAGCGGGATCTTATGGTTTGGGGCAAAAATCAGCGTTTCAGTCTTGTTTGAATTTATCTGCAAATAGTTTGTGGCTAGCCGGTCTTTGATGGAGGACACACACTCTAGAAACAGAGGCAAACGATGAAACTCAGCATCATTAAAAGAACAATACAACCGAACATCGTCAGCGTAGAAATGGTATGATACATCCTTGAAACAGCCGATAATTTGACCAAGTGGCAAAATGTACAGTAAAAACAAAATAGGACCCAAAACTGAACCTTGTGCCACTCCGCAGGACAAATTGGTCACATCAGACTGTACATTATTTACAGCAACATTAAAG